GATACCCACCCAACTTCCAAACTGATGTCCTGAGGCTGAGAAGGAGCTGGTTTCCAGTGGTCCGCCTAGAAAGGTGCCCTTTCATTGGCCCAGGAGAACCACTAATGCCACTACTTTTTGACTTAGTTAATTAAGTAAATTTAGGTCCCTAACTTCTGGAACAATGTTCCCTCTAAATGGTTGCTGAGTTCTTTTTCATAAAAAAAAAAAAAGTGTGTGTGTGTGTGTATGTATGTTTATGTGTTTAAGCCATTTTATGTAGTTTAACATTAAATTGTATATATTTTAATATTGTAATCCACTTCAGATTTTTTTTGCAGTTAAGTAGGGATACAAATTAAGAGTAAGTAAATAAATAATAAATTCACAAAAGGCTCTGCAGAACATATTAAAAGGGCAATATTACAATTACAAATCCTTACCAAGTACAATTCATTTTTAATGATGATAAATAAGGATTAAATATTTTCATTTCGTTAACCCAAGGTTTCTCAACCTTGGCACTATTAACATTTTAAGCCAGATAATTCATCGCTCTTGAGCACTGTCCTGTCCATTACAGGTGTCTCACAGTAACCCTGGTACCTGCCCACTAGAGGCTGGTATCACCTCCTCGTTGTGACAACCAAAATATTTCCAGACACTGCTAAATATCACTCAGGGGGCAAAATTACCCCTGGTTGAGAACCAATGTGTTTATCTTTTAGTTTTACTTTTAAATTTCTCTGCTTCTCAATTCTTAATATCCTTATAAGCAGTAACAGGCTCAACAGAAATGTTTAGTAATTGGTTGCATCTAATTACAGATGTAACACGTTACATGTGAGCAGTATTTCTAAAAAACCTGTACTATCCACATTTAGGTAATTGCATGTTTTAACTGCACCAAAAAAACCTCCCTCCATCCTCAGGAGAAACATCATAGGATTCCTTGTGCAAAGTGAAGAGTTTACCTATATTTTCTGATTTCATATTTGTTGTGAATATGGGTTTTTCTAAGCAGGACACATGGGTGACTATATCTATTTTGGGTTGTAGTGTTAAATGTAAACGAAGAGGAGAATAGGGCTAAATTTGGGTTATCTTTGATCTCAGGTTTAAAATTCAGCAGAGGGTATTGAGTTACACTGAGGAAATTGGAGCAGTAGTTGGTAGCACGAAGAATTTCTTTTGTACGCTTTCTAATTATTTCATTGCAATGACAGATTGGTGGCTCGGGGAAATAAATGAGAATTTTAAAAGGATAGATTCATATCTAAATGCCAATTATATTTGAATTCATTTTCCTGAATCTTATGTCTTTCTTCTTTTAATTAAGGTTTAAAACCCACTGTGGCCCTGTGTCAACAAAAGTGTAGATGGACAGGGACTCTGGAGAGCAATTATTGTGCAAGTAACTTTGGTAAGAAATAAAACCCAGCCTTTTCTCTTTAGTAAGAAACTTGAGACTGCGTGCTTAGTCTCAAAGGAATCGCCATGACGGTGATGGGAAAGGGTCAGTTACACTCTTCATTTACCCAAGAAAATATTTTCCTGCACACTAAGGTATATTGACTTGTGCTGTTCAAAGTGTTAGATTTCACAACTGAGAAAAATATTTATACAGACAGTGTACTTTTTCACATAAACTTAATTTGACTCCTGGTACATGATACTGCTACTCTGCATATTCTGGCTAGCTCAGTATTCCTGAAAAAAAAAAAAAACCACGTGCCTCTTTTCTCACATATTTTTCATGTACTGAGTATTTTTTAAAACGTCTGTAATTCAACTTAAGTAAATTAGAAACATATCCAGGCTGGTCTCTCTCACAAGATATTCAGGTATGTCCTCTTCAGTGTCCTTCCAAATACTAAATTAAAACTTGGAAACCTGAAATCTATTTGGAGACTCATAATTTGGAACCTGAGGAGATATTACTTAATGACTTAGAATTTCTAAGAGATTTTTCCAATAAAAAATAGTTGTACTTTCTGTGAAAAGCACTCAAGAGCAAAAGATAGCCAAATTTAATTATGTTATTTTCAAAAGGAACATTTAAAAAAAGTATTAGGAAAAGAAAATTGCTGTAGTCTAAATAGGTTACCCAAAAGAAAGGGCCTCCCAGAAGCAACTTTGCTTGCTTTTTCTGTGCCTTAAAGTGGTAACTGTCTGCAGCTCAGACAGACTATATAGCAGTGAAGTGAAGGCATTGAGAAATCTGGGGCCCGACACCCCTCTGGAGTTTGCATGCCAAAATTCAAGTAACTGGCTTAAAAATGAAAACAAATAGCATCAGGTGTCATTGCCACCAACCATATTTAGTTTAGTCTTCTGTAGGAGGTGCTGAAGGAAATCTCCCTCCCTGTCGTTTGGAGCCACCTGATTCCACTGGGCTACAGACTGACATTTTGCAGTGAACAGTAATCACCTGGAATCAAAGTAAGGCATGACAGGAATTCTGATTTTATGAGCTTTGCATACTGTGCAAGCAATGAGTTCACACTTTGCCCAATAAGGGTAGTACAGCCAAGTACAAAACTTGATTTATTCCAATGTGTGTCACTTGTATGGCAAAACGACCACATATTATCAGCAGTGGCCTACTGGTTCTCAGCCAGCACTGATAATACTCCTCTAGGGGTAGTTTGCGGTTGTCACAAAAACTGGGGGGCACTACTGGTTTTTCTAGGCAGAGACAGGACTCATAAAAAGTCATTCAATACAAGTCCTGCACCACACAGAATTATCTCCACCAAAATGCCAAAAGCATGCCTTCGAGAAACACAGCATCTTTCCTTCTATGGCTCGGAAATGAGACTTTTTCCTCTGAGTGTCACAATAGAAAAAGGAGTTACATAATGAAAAGCAACTGAATTTTGCTAGAGTTTTTTTTAAGCAAGAAAATGATTTAAGTTACCCCTCAGTTCTATATTTTGACTTGTTAAATGAGATAAACAAGATGGATAAGAAAGGGAATATCAAAGACCCATAAAAAGACAGATATTACTGATAATTAAAGAGAAATGAGGACCCAAGAGAAGAACCAAAGTTCTAGGAGGGTGGACAGCTAAAAGAGAGGTCGGGGAAACACAGAAAGGTAGGCACCCACCTGCAGAGACACAAAGACTCTGATCTTCATGTCTCAAACCCCTCATGCAACCTCCTAGTATGGTATCACCTCTAAAGATTCAAGGCCTTCTTAAATAGCAGCTCATAGGCCTGTACCACACGTTGGGTAAGACGTTGCAAAGAGTCCCCATCTCAGCGACAGACTGCAATGCAGCGGCTATCTGGGTTTCTGTCCTAGGCAACCACCTGGGCAACATTACAGCTCCACGGCTCCTTTTCTCAACTTGAATTTTGGAGACAAATGTACAGAATCAATTGCTCTATTAAGGCATTCGCTTTAACATTAAAATGTTTCCCATCTGAAACTTAGAAAAATAAAAAATTTTCAGTTCGCTTACATTTGCCTTCACTGTTACATTACTTCAAAAATGTTTTCTTCTGCAGTATTGGCCGGCACCGTTATCACAACGGTCACTCGAGGTGGAAGTCTGCATGCCACAGTCTCACTCATCAACATCTACAAAGAGGGAAATCTGGCAATTCAGCAGGCCGGCAAGAACATGAGTGCCAAGGTCATTGTGGTCTGCAAGCAGTGCCCTCTCCTGAGAAGGGGTAAGTAAAAAGGAAAACTTTCGTCTTGTAGAGGAACTCAGGGACAGAGAAGGGAACAAGAGAGTATCTCAGAGCAAGCCATGGGTCTGTCTATGCCATGGCTGGTCTAGGGAATCAAATCAGGGCTAATATATTGCCCACTTCTGGTATAGAAGGAAGGCCTTTGGAGTCAGGCAGAACTGGGCTCTAATTCCAGTTCTTATAACTTGTGAAAAAGACAAGGTAGTAGAAATGATGAACGAGTCCAAGAAGCATTTGAAGTTGGATAACAGGGAACAGACACAAAGGAGCAGTTCAGGAGAAAATTGTTAGTCATTGCACTTAAGGTGCCAATATTGTAAGAAAAAGGAAATTCAGAGCTGAAGTTCAGAAGAGAAAGGTATTAGGGGCTAGAATTAAGAGATTTGGGAATCATTTTTAGATAAAGGATCATTAAATCCATATGTAGGAATGAGTTTATTAAGAGAAATTTTGGAAAAAGGGGAGTTGCTTCAGAGCCAGAGGCACATTGTTTTTAAACACGCTCGTTAACATTGTCGAAATAGTGTATGTTCAAGAAAAAGTAATGTCTGTTCTATAGTTTTTAAAAAGTTTAAATAAGTACAGAAATAAAATGTGAAGCATTTTCATTTTCAAAACCAGTGGTCCTATGAAAAGTTTCTTCCAGAAAGTTTCTGTCCATATAAAACATGCACATACTCACTTAGAGAAACGGAATCATGCTATACACATTCTACTGCAACTTGCCCCCACATGATATTTACATAGATGCCTTTCTGCAAATAGCACATATAGATAGATCTCTCTCTTTAGAATGGTAAATAATGCCTGGTATTCCAGTGTGTGATATGCCATGATTATCCAATCTCAGCTCATTCCTTTCCTCGGTCTCGTTACAAACCTCTCCCACAACCAAAACAAACCAAACCACATGTGTGTGTGCACACACACACAGACACAGAAATACAGAATATTCACTTCAAGAAAGCTTTACTATGATTCTGGATCATTCAGAAAAGCCAGGAAGCCAGCAGCGTCACACTGACTTTTTAGAGGGAACAGCAAAGGCTCTCTAAAAGATAACGCTTCTTTCCAGAACTGCCAGGAACAGCAAATAATGATGCTAGCAGTCCAGACTTGAGGTGGCATTTACCTGTCCAGCCTACCAAGCTTTTACAGGCTCAAGACCACTGTGATGACAGTGTTATCCCACAGAGGAAGGATTACACAAGAGAAAAGAGAAACACGTATTTTTCTTATGATGCTCTGGGGAAGAGAGAAGGAAGATAAAGAAGGTAGTAATATGCACTTCCTTTATGGCATTTTTCTGAGGCAGTATAAATCTTCAGAGTTGAACCCAACATGTGTCAGCTTAGGCACCAGTCAGTCCAGGCATAAACTTAGTCAGACACACTTATATATATTTTAAAAATAGTGTAACTGATATAAGTACTTTGTAGTACCTGTTTTTGTAAGAGACTATAGGACTGCAAAGAAGTATATGATGAAATCATGCCCTCAGGAAACTTACATAGTATATATGCTTGAGATATTGCAAAAACATTCAAGACAACTGAAGACAGTAGATCATTAGTTGCCAAATACCTGAGAAATCCAGAAGCGCTATGGGATTTCGAGAGGCCATCTGAGGATGGCGTGTCTGGGGCACTCACGGGAGGCCCCTGGAGCAGTTGAGAGCCTTTCCCATGAGCATAGTGCATCATTCTTGGTAGACACTCAGTAAATACACCAGACCTACAGCGCTGCAGAGCAAGACATGACCGGATCTAGTTATTCCAGCCAATTTCCCAGTGTCAGCAGAGCTGGAACATGTTACTCAGTTTTTAGGTTTTTGCTGATGAGAGTCTTAAACCAGTAGAATAAATATTTAATTGTATCCCTACAGAACATTTATCTAGAGGTAAGTTATAGTCTAAGTTGTTTCAAACAAACACACATAGAGAAAAAAAATAATTTTATGTTCTCTTTTTTTAGGTCAAAATTACATTATTATGGGCCAAGTAGGCGAAGATGGGCGAGGCAAAATTATGCCAAACAGCTTTATCATGATGTTCAAGACCAAGAATCAGAAGTTCCTGAATGCCTTGGAAAACAAGCAATGTTAACAGTGAACTGTGTCAATATAAGCTTCATTCTGTCATTGCCTTGGAAAGATCTATTTTTCTCAGTAGAAAAACAATCTTGTAATATTAAATATTGAGCATTCGGAAAGATTTACTCTTCACATGATGGAGGTATGAGACCTCTGATATTGCTGATGGAAGTTCTGTGCCTGTACCAAGAGGAGCAATATCTAATGGAGAACCTGCAGACTCACTGTGGTGATAGGAGACTACCTGTATCAAGCGTTGACAGTTTGGAAGCAGTTTATTTATACATGTCTGTACAAGGGTATTTTAGAAATGAGTTTTGTGAAGATGTAAAAAAGATTTTATAAGTGCGATATTTATAGTGGTATTTGTTTTACCTTCAAGCGCTTGCTTCAAGGTGTCATATTCTTCTCTTGCATTTTTAAATCAATGCTTAATAAAATATTTTAAATGATTATATAACAACCATTAAACTTGTTTTTATAGAAAGTGGGACACTATAAAAAGAATATTTTCTGCTATTTACTTATATGTTTGTCTTTGTAACAATTTACACCATGCTCAAAGAGTTAGCCTTCACAGAACTTCGGGGGCTGGATGGGTTCAGTAATGTAAACAGATTATGATTCTTCTCTGCAGAAACAGAAATGTTAGCGCTTGAACGGTATCCCTCAGGGATCTAGTTCAACTGCCCCATTTGTAATAGAAACAAGCTCAGGTATATTTAGTGACTTGTCCAGGCACACATCTCCCATGAGACAGAGCAGGCACTCAAGCTCAGAAGTCCTAATTCCAAACCCGGTGCCCTTTAAGCCCCTAGGAGAGATCCTTGCTGCCCCAGAGGAAAGCCCTCTTATCTTCACTTGCAGAGTTCAATTCTTGTTTTCCTAGCCTAAATCATAATTGGTCACTTTATAAGACTTGAAATGAACACTCCTATCCTGTTCAAGTTAACTGAATCAGGCTGTGTCAGCTAGGATGCACTCTGCAGTTGCCTTTGAAAAATCTATTTTCACTCAGCGGTGGAAGAACTGTAAAAGAACTCCCATCATTCGCACAGAGCTGCTTAAAATGTCTCTGTACCTGCAGTAGGTGTGGCCACCAGCCCTCAGGAGCTGCGGAAGAGGGGCCGACCACCCCTGGTCGAGGAGGTAGAAAGAGCATGAGGGATGAACAAAGACTTGAGTCACGAGGCCTCCCATACTACTAGAAGCAAAGTGTTAGAAATAAGGGAATACTCTTTTGGGCGAAAATCCAACTACATGCTATTTGAAAGAGTTATCTAAAACATAATGACAAAAAAGTTGAGAGAAAAAGGATAGAAAAAAAATATCAGGAAAATATTAACAAAACTAATGTGGCTTTATTAATAGAAAAAAATGAAGGCATTACTCGAGAGTTACAAAGAGATAACAATTCTAAAATTTGCATGCAGTTAACATCTTTCAAAATATATAACAATCTGGTATAGTGTAAATGGAAATTGGTAAATTCATTATCATAATGGGAGATTTAAAACATATATCTCTCAATAGCTGGCAGATTTAAAAGAATAAAGATATAGAAGATTTGAACCACACAGTTAACTAGATTTACCTGATGGATATATATAGAACAGAACCAAAAGCACATTTTTAATCTCAGCATGGAAAAATTTCAAAACTTGCCCATTTACTGTACTATGAAACAAACCCCAACAAATTTCAAAGAACTGAGAATGTACAAACGTCCTTCTCCAACAACAATGAATAATTAGAAATTAATAACAAAAAATAAACAATAGAAAAAGATAAGAAAAACCTGATGTTTGAAAATGAGAAATGTGATTTTAAAAATGCATGATCATGAGGAAATTAGAATGGAAAATAGAAAAATACTAAGAACGGAACAATAATAAAAATGCTGAATTTTAAATGTGCGGAATGCAGCTTAAATAGCACTTTAAAATTCATAACCTTAAATGTTTACATTATTTTTAAAGGGTAAAAAATAATTAGGAAGTTAATAAAAGAACAAAAGAATAAACTTTTAAAAGATAGGAAGAAATAAGCATAAAAGCAGAAATAGAGGAAAATAGTAAAAATAAATAAAGAGAAAGTTAACAAAGCCAAAAATTGGTTATCTAAAATGACTAATATAATTGCTAAAGGTCTGAAAAGATTAAGCAAGAAGTGAAACAGGACAAACAAAACAATTTGGAACTGAAAATAGACCTTACTACAGATGTTACATAATCTTCAGAGATAATAAGAGGATATTCTGAACTACTTTATGTCAACAGAGATGAACGCTTAGATGAAGTGGACAAATTTCTAATCGGGAGAATTTATCAACTCATACTCAAGTGGAAATAGAACACCGAAACAGTCCTATAAACATTTTAAAAAATTTAGTCAGCAATTAAAAATATTCGAACAAAATTCCAGGTCTAGAGACAAATACTGCCAATGTACTATTCCAGAGTGTCAGTGAAGAAGTAACACTCAGCAATTCTATGAGATTAATATAATCTTAATAGCAAAACTTGAGCAGACAATAGGATCCAGGAAAATTACCAGTCTGATTTCACTTATGACCATAGGTGAAAAATCTTAAACAAAATGTTAGCAAGCAAAACTTAGCAAATAAAATAGGTCATGATCAAGTTGGATTTATCCCAGAAACAAAAGGTTGATTTATCATTAGAAAATCAATGATCATGCTTCACTGCATTAACGGATTTGCAAATGTTGAGAAGGCAGTCTTAATGCAACTAGACTCATAACAGTACCACATAGCCTCAAAAAGATATAGCCCGGGGACCAGAGCGTAACCGGACCCTGTCAGACTTTCTTCTTTGGGAGTCTTTGCAGCAGTTTGGCAGCAGTTCACACAGCCATCCCTGACCTCTTTTCTTTGGCTTACTTCTAGGGCTGCCTCAGATGCCAGGAGACAAGATTCATGTCAGGTGAGTGCAAACACTCCAGTTTAAAGTCCACAACTCCTCAGAAACCAGGATCTCTTATAAGAATTCCATAGGCATAGCTTCCAGACTCCTCATAGATGACAAGCCTAGTTATAAGTGTTACTCAGAAAAGCCCAAAGCTATGGCTCCTCTATGAGCTATTTATAATTTCTCCCAATCCAACACGATTTGTCAATCAGGGGTCATTTTTATTATAAGCCAGTTTGCCTAGCAATATAGGTGGCATAATGTATTATCAGATTACTAGGTGAGTCAAACAAAGGTCAACTCTTAAGAGAATGGGGAAAGGTTTTGTTAAGCCCTGTTCATAACAAAGGAGAAAAATCATTTGATCTTAATAACGCAGAAAAGCATTTGTATAATTTAATATTTATTCATGGCAAAGCAAACCCTGAGCAAACTATGAATAGAAGGAAACTTCCTTAAACTGACAAGAAAACCTGCAGTAAATCTTGTACTTAATGGTGAAATATTGAGAGTATTTTCTTTAAGATCAGAGATAAGACAAGAATGCTTGAAATCAATATTTCTATTAAAAATTGTCCTGCAGAGTCTGGTCAGTTTAATAAGGAAAGAAAAAGAAATAAATGATATTAGAAAGAAATGAGACTATTGTAATGCAAAGATGATATAATTATTCAAATACAAAACCCAAAGTAACTTGCAAGTGATTAGAATTAATAGTTTCATAAGTTTGTCCCTTAGATGGATATATATAAACTTTAGCCCCAGGACAAACTATTGAATCTTATTTTATCTTTTATAGTTAATTAAATATCTTGAATTAAATATATGAGGGTCATTATTCACACACTAACAGCCTCTTTTTAACATAGGATCTTATAGATGTCCAAGAGTGGGACATCGATATACAGAATTGGGTATTCAGACAGAGCAGCTCCGGGACATACACTGTTCTGAAGAATTTTAAAATTATTTTAAATCCTAACTTTTACTTTGTTTTTGTCATTTGTTTCTTCCTCTTAAAAACAAAGTCAACAATTAGGTTTAAAAAGTTAAAATTTGATTAGCCATTAATCTGAAACATTATCTTTTGCTTGAAAGGTGTCCCTGTGGCATTTTGATACTAAGATTAGGTTAAACAGTGAAATGCATCTTTTAAGTATGGAAATCTATTAAGAAAATTTACAAGCTTAAAATAAGACTTCATATAGCTAATTAATTTATCTCACAAATGAAAAATAAATATTAACAGTAATTAATATTAACAGTAATGCAATTAAGAGCTTCTGGGATGAGGAGGAGGCTTAGATTCTTCTGTGCAGTGTAGCCCTGGGAGAACTTTAGTTTCCTTATCTGCGAAGCGATTAAGTTGAATTGGATTCTTTCTGTGGTATCTTATAGGTCTTACATTGTTTCTAGGTCCTTGAATAACCACATAGATCGGGACATAGAGAAAATTAACCAGTTTCTCCATTCTATATTTTTGGTTCCTTCATGGCCTGCCTTATTTTTTGAGACTGACTCCTTTTCTATTTATGTTTCCTAACTCACTGCTCCTCTTTTCCCTATGACTCTTACCTCATTGGTCTCTGTTTCTGTCCTTGGTCATAAATGAAAAGTCTTTAATAAACTAGTTATTTAGAAAAGCAGGAACTGGACATCTTAAGTTCTGTTCTCTGACCAAGATGAACCTAAATGAGAAATTAATTTAAAAAAGCAAAGCTTTTGTATATATATTACCTCGTAAAAACAATAAATTGAGTTTAGGATCTCCAGTCAGTCATCATAGAAGCTTGGACAAATTACTTACAATGCCAGTTTCTTAGCTATAAAATGAGAAGGTTGAAGTAGATGATCTAAGTTTTCTTCTAATCCAATTTGATGAAATAGATTCTAGGGCACGCAGTTGTTAGATGGGTATCTGACTGGATGTCAGTCCTAGTATATTTACTCAAATAGATAATGGCTAAATTTTCATTCAATAAACTTGTGCCATTCGGCATCAACATTACTTAAACTGAGGCTACAAAGGAGAATAAGAGAAGTGTTTCCACCTAGTTTTATACTTTAAAACAATTGTTATAGGAAATGCAGTGAGCTTGCTATTTCCACTGAAATATAAAATGGAGAAAATAAATTTTAAAATATTTAAAATTTGAAATATTTTTAAATTACCTCAGAGAATTAATTCAATTTCTGGATAAGTTACTGAAGCAGTTAGTATATTTTCCTCTTCAAAATACTTTTCAAATTGTACCTGATAATTTTTAACATCTTTCAATAACAATAATTTTATCTAAAATTGAAGGATAGATTAAACAGCCTTTTAATGAAGGGAGAGAGCTATACAGAGACACAAGGAGAGAGAGAGAAAGAGGGATCTCTAGATCGCCAATAGAAGGATGAAGAAAATGGAGTTTACCTGTTATTTACCTGATTGGCTGAAGCAGTTCTTTTTTTAAAACATACATTCGCTTCCTAGATAATCCTGTTTTGCCTCTCTTATTACTGTAACTTCATCAAAAATCATGTCTCTTAAAGATGGATATTTTTAAAGCATGTAAATAGCACATGAAATTTTTCCCAATTCTGAGTTGCCTATCTTAAGTATTTATTTCAAACTGGGGATAGCAGGAGCAGGAAAAGAAAAACACTGAAATTATCAATGAAGGGAAACAGCGTAATTGGAAATTCTTCTAATATCTTCAAAAAACACGTTTATTAATGGGGCAGTGATGTCAGAAAGCTAACAAATTAACTTAAAATTGAGAAATTCAGAGCAGCCACTATCCCTGGTACCATTAACATTTTCTTAGTGTAATTCTGAATTAGACTCAACTGGTTTACTGCCAGGCTCATAAACTCAGCCTACTTGGTATTCTACAAATATATTTTCTGAGGAAAACAAAATCTTCAATTTCAATACAATTCCAATAAAAATCCCAACAAAGTTTTTTTGGTAGAAATTGATAGATTCCAATTTACTAACATGAAAAAGTCAAGAAGCTAGAATAGTCAAATAATTTTGAAAAAATTAAATAAAATTCTTCACCTGGTTATTTAATACTGTACTTCACCCCTCTATGTTGTGTTAATGATGTTACCAAATTGAATATTCAAACAGTTTTCTTTTAGAGTGATAATAAATTACAAGATTCTACCATTATTTTCGTATTCTTTATTTTAGTATATTATAGCATTATGTATATTTGTCCGGTTTACTTAAGTATAATTTCTATAAACTAAAATATACCCTTTTTAAGTGTGCAGTTTGATGAGTTGTGCAACCAGTCTTCTCCTCCTACCAGATACTGGTATCCAATGATCTGATTTTGGTTTCTATAGTTTTGTCTTTTCTAGAATGTCATATAAATGAATTCATATAGTATGTAACCTTTTGTGACAAGCTTCCTCACTTAACATAATACTTTTAAGATTCATCTATGTTATTGCATGTATCAATTTGTTTCTGTGTCAACTTGGTTAGGCTGAATTATGTTTCCCAGAATCCTCTTCGTTGTATGCTTCCAACTAGGGTGAGCCACAAGACATATTTTAGTGTGAAGTTCGGATAGCAGAAGTAAAGCAGCAGTCTAGCTTACAATATTCTACCTTTCCTTGGATCCTCTTTCAACTCCTCTGATTCCTGGGACAAGTGTATGTCAGCTAAGGGCAACTTTTCCGACAGGATACCCACATCATCAATCAAGGTTGAAAAGTGACATGGGAATGTCAGTCCATCCTCATAGGTTCCAGCTTGTCTGTGTTTCTTGCATGTTATACCTATCTTCCCCTCCCAACTGCCTACCCCGTGAACTCCAAGCTCCAGCACTGGATGTAAAAACAACAGCCTCATCGAGATTGCTTAACCAATTCCAATTGTGTAACATCAAATCCCTGTAAACAAATCACTATACAAACATACACGTTGCCTGCAAATATCTTAGTTGTTCTGCTTCTCTGATTGAACTCTGACTGATACAATTTCCTTTGTATTACTGAATAGATTTCCATTGAACAGATGTACAGTTTGTTTATCCATTCGCTAGTTGATGAACATTTTTGTTGTTCTCAGTTTGGGATAATAAATAAAGCTGCTATAATCATTCACATACAGGTCTTTGTGAGGACACATTATTTAAAATCATGGTATTTATAAATATTGGAAGAAACAGCTTAAAAGTTAAATGTGATTGCCACTGGAAGAAGAAAGGGACACAAAGGGGTCTGATGTTAATGTTTGCATTTTAGGCCTTAGCATTATTTTTTAAAAAACTACTCAATTGTATACTTTAAAAGAGTGAATTTTATGACATGTGAGTTATATCTCAAAGAAAGTATAAAATATACAATAATACAGTGGACAGACTGTCAATTTAGAATCTAATGTCAAGTTTTATTCACCTTTTTTCTTACAATATGCTATCATTCAAAATATACCTCATAAGCAATTCATGCATACAGTAGGCACTCAATAAATATTTTGATTTAATAATTAGATAGTTTTTAGAATGACTAAAAATCCTGATGTCAAATCCCAACTGGGAAGTGCATAATCCCATTGCAGACAAAATATATAACTTTACAATAAACGTTTTTATAAGAATTAGCCCCAAAGAGGGAACACTCACAACTTGGAAATTAAAAAGTAAAATGCAAGATGAAACACAATACTAATATATTCAGACAATGATCCCTGGGCCAGTGGTGCTTATGGACCAAGGGCTACCTGCACCCTGTGGCCTTAAGACCATCTGACATTCAGTTAAGAAGATAATTACATATCTAATAATCTCTTAACTGGAAATGCTGCAAGAATATATAAGCGATGGCTTGTTAAAAAATTTAAACTACATCTCTTGCATGAACACAGGAAAAAAATTTTAATATACATTTTATTCTCCAATTTAAAAAAAAAAAGAACACTTTTCACCTTAAGCAGCAAGAGAGATCCATAAATAAGCATGGAGTCACACTTACAGAAGCTATGTTAAATTCTGTGAAAAATAATTTGGGAGGCAAACTCAAGAACCTTAGTCCAAATATAAAACGCATCCTTGCATCAAAGAGTTTTTCAATGTTTACAAAAACAAAACAGGCTGTGACCACACATGATCAAGAAGTATTTTCTAAATCCTTATTTTGGGTTAGCTTTATAAGTTTGAACATTCACTCCAACTTGAAAAAGAACTATAGCACTATTATGATATGGAAAAAATAAAAGCCACCAAATGCCTAACCTTAGAGAAGTACCTGTGCAAACCTATCAACATAAATACTCTATAGCTACAAAATGAAGAATCTACTAACTATATTTTTCAAAAATTGTATAATTCTATAAAAACTTAAATACATGGACTATATCAATACATGGAAATGTATATATAAAATATTATTAAGTGAAAAAAGCAAAATTAAAAATATAGTGATTACAACCATGTAAAAGTAAATATAGTACAATAACAAAATTTAAGTAAATTTAAATTTATAGAGACATGAATAGATTCAAATATTCATTAAGGTTTTTTATTAGGATTATAACAAAATAAAAAAAATAGACTATTATTTTAAATAAAACTATACTCTTAAATGATAAATACTGAATTATATGTGAAGTCCTGACACAGAGATTTTAAAAACCATGAATTCTATTATTTCAAGTTATCCTATGGATGGAGATCAGCTGCATTTACTGATTTTCATTTATAGAACTTTCTGGCAATGTGTACAATTATAACTGACCTTCTTGAACATAAAAAGAAAAAATTTTAGAGCACTATTCAAGTAAGAAAACCAAGCAGCATGCTTACAAAATCTACCTCCTTAATCTGTTTCGCTCCTGGAAAAAGCCATTAACAGAAAGTTTTTAAAAAACGAATTCTATATACATATTTTACATAAATTATTTATGCTATAAATATTTTAAAGAATGGCTTTTACATAATTGTTTCAATATGTATCTTATTGATTTAATTGCAAGTTATGCAAACATAGTCTTTATTACTGAAAATTACTCTCTACATAATTTAGAAAGTGATTAATTTCTTGGATAAAACATAGCATATTTAGAAGTCCGAAAGCCGAGTAAATCCCTTATTTCATTTCGGAATTTTGACAGATCTTGGCGCAATTCATTTAGATTTTCCACAGTTGCCTGATCTGTACTTTGCATCTTCTGTCTCATGGAAGTCAAGTAACGATGCACTAAGCAGCACATCACTTTTTGGTAGTTTTCATCTCTCTTTTGTTTCAAATTTCTCCATTCCTTCAAAACAAGCAATAATGATACAATGTGCATAAATGATATTTAAAAGTAGGTAGATTTTTTTAAAAATTTGCAGACACAAACACATATAGCAGGCATATTTCTTTAATCTACTCACCTGTATGCTTATTTTGATTTAAAAGTAGTCTTAGGAAGGCTTAGTTTATAGGAGGGATTAGCAAACTATGACCCACAGGCCAAATACGGCCCACTTCCTGTTTTTTTTATGGCCTGTGAGCTAAGAATGGTTTTTCCTGATGAACATTTGAAATTAATTTGATAATAGGGAACAATAATTTTGAACCCCAATTAAACAAAATATTATTCCCCCCACCAAAAAAATGAAAGTCCATTCTTTTCATTAATAGACCTGTATTACAAAAAATTACTACACATAAAACTTACTGGATTTCATTAACCAATGTCACCATAATAAAAAAAAATTTTTTTAAATTATTACTCAATGGTTACCCTTTTAATTTCATCAATAAAAATTTAGTGGGAATTTATGTTCTTTCTTGTTATATTACTACTCACATAAACCTTCGATTTTATCTTGGCTTGCAAAGTCTAAGTTATTTATTATCTGGACCTTTACAGAAAAAGTTTGCCAGCCTTTGGTTTATAGCAACATGTATTGAATTAATCATGTATTAAATAACTTTCAGAAGGACCAGAAAAAGAACTGACTCTCATTCTCAATAAACATTTATTGAATCCTTACTTTATGTTATATCTATGCCATGCATCAGGGGATATAGGAGTGAAAAAAATCAGTCTCAGGCTTTAAGGAGACTGCATATTTATGCCTTAGGAAACATCTGAGATTAGGAATTGTTTAAACTTCCATGTTGCAATTCTAATCTCTCACCTTTAAACTGTTTTGCCGTTTAACCTTGCCTTTCGATGTATGAGAGCAAATCCATTTACTGAGGCTGCTAATCATGTAGCAGATTGTTTTGGGTGAAGGAATGATGTTAAAAGGTGGGGGTAATGTACATTTGTCATCAAAGTAGCTAAGCCACAACTTTGCTCGAGCAAACTTCCATTCTTTGTCTTCATGATTCTATAAGAGGCAAATGAAAAAGCAATAGAGGATATGAACAAACACACACACACACACACACACACACACGGGGGAATGGAGGAGAAAAAGAGAGAAAGATTGTTTCAAACTGTCAAATTTTTCCATACCTTGTAGGTAAAAATTTGGTTTAATTTGCAGTTAATAAACATTATTACATTTAAAAAAATCTAATTTTTAAATGATACTAATTCTTAATTCTTACAGTCTTTGGTTGCCTTATCTGCATATATTTGGTAAGATCTGAAGAGACTATACAGTTTTTAAAAGAGCGAACACTTACTGCTATCAACTGAAAGCTTTTGTGAAGCATTGCCACCAGTAGCTTGGTAAGCACAATCACAACCACCACGTTGTATGTCCCAACAATAACGGCTCCAACAAAGGACTGCAATTCTTCTCCGTAGCTAAATCTTGTGACAAAGATTGCCACATGCGCTAAGGAGAAAATATACCAGAACAAAGCAAAGCAAGTGCCAATGAACCTGTAAAGACAATTACATTTCTGTTTAAGAGAAAATTAAAGAAACTAATTAGGAAAAATGAAGAATTTATTTATATCAACATTACCTAAAGAAAATATTGATAATCCAAGAATAATACTTTATAAGTGAGGTTGAACCCAACAGTACAGATATGCCTTACTTTAAACAAGGAAATAGACTCGAAAAGAAAATAAATTATTCCTGTTTAATCTCTTATTGACTTTCTGTCCGTTCTCAACATAATGGTATCTATGATCCTGTTAAAGCCTAATTAGATTTTGTCACTGCTATGTTCAAAAATTTCAAATGGATATCTCAATAGTCCAAAGTCCTTAAAAAGGCCAACGAGGTCCTATATGATCCCCGTTACCTTTCTTACCTCATCTCTTACCATTCTCCCTCGAATTCACTACATTCTAATCACACCTGCCTCCTGGCTTTCCCTTGAATATGTCAGCCATGTTCTCATCGCAGGGCATTTGCCTTTGCCATTCCCTGTATCTGCCAAAGCTCTTCCTCTAAATTTAATCTTCTTCATTGCTTGATCCTTCATCAGCTTTACAATCTTTACTTGAATGTCAACTCTTATGAGACCACCCCTAACCTCCTATCTAAAACTGTACCCTCTAACACATATATTTCCCGGCCCAAGCTTTGTCTCTTTAGCCCTTATCACTGTGTAATATCCTGTGTATTTCATTTCTCTTTTTATTGCCTGTATCACCTCATTAGAATATAAGTTCCATGATGTAGTTTTGTTCATTCATATTTCATTCACTCAACACTTAGAAAAGTGTCTGGTATATAGAAAGTGTTAGATATATATTTATTATTCATTTCATCTTAATCCTTAAATAAGATGACATGAAAGTAACTGAAGACTAGTTGGTACAAAATAAGAACACAACGAATGTGCAATTCCACACCTCTTCTCCATTATCTTATTTAAGAATGAGGGGAGGTATTTTGTCTGCCTCACAACTGGTTGTTCAATTCCTTACTGAACATAATTGCATTATGTATTATAACAATAAATTGGAGAAAAAAATTTGTTCGTTAAGCTCTAATAATTCTCACTTCTAATAAACTAACAAGTGTTGAAAATGTAAAAGAGTGTTTTGGTTACAACAATGACTGAGAGTTGCTACTCATTTAATACTTGAGGAACTGAGATGTCGAAATCTTGCAATACATACAGCTGACAAAGAACTGTCCTGTTCAAAATGCTACAGGTGCACAAAATGCGAAGAGTTCCTCTGTGAAGATATACTGCAGTAGGGGAGACAATGAAATAACTTGGGCCTACTAATTATTTAAGACTCTATATGTAAAAATAACTATCAAATGATTCATGAAAAATAAGAAATTCTTATTAGAAAATTTCTTTTAAAAAATTTGAAGTCCTATTTCTATAGATACTAATGCATACATAACACAATAGAGAGAAATATATTTACTAAAAATTACAAAAGACACTCACGAATGAAAGGTATCATTGCTTTGCTGTTCACAGAAGATGCCTACACAGTCTTTCTGTTCTTTTGGAGTATAGCCTTTATCATACAATTGTGTCAATCCAATTGTGAAAGAAAACAAAACAAGAAGGAACATCCCAAGAAATTTTCCAAAATCTTGTAGCATCTGTCCCATAGAAATCTGTGGAATATATTACATAGGTGTTCATTAAAATTATCAGGAAAATGAAATATTAAATATTAAATGACCAAGCAATGAAAGGAAGACAAACACATCAGCCACAGTCTACTCCTTATCTATGGGAGGTACAGCCAGGGGTTGGAAGGCAGGCTTTCTCATTTGGAATCTTCTTCACTATATGCATTTATTACTTTTAAGGTACAAAACATAGTGTTTAGAAATAATCCTTCCTCAAATTTAACGAGGTCAAATTTATATAATTAATTAAACCCATCTTCAAATAAAATTCCTAATTGCCTCAAACCTGCCAAAATAACACATGCCACTCACCGGTGATACAAAATGGGAGCAGCAGGCAAGTGGTCAAGCCCTTCTAGCTCACTTTTGTGGGCCAGCTAATTAAGTATAAGAGGTATGCTAAAATTTCTTAGGCACACTACAAGCTAGTAACCTGGGCTCTGCAGTAGTGAGAGGTTCAATATGTATGATTTGCACATGTGATAAGGCCATGTGGTACTTTTCAAAATCTTATGCTTACCTCACTTGGCCCCCTTGCAAAAATTCTATCAAAAAAATCAGGGAGGTTTAGAATTGGAAAGCTAAAAATGTATGGGTCACTTATTCAGTTCATGAGTGCTTAGAATAAAGTAAAACCATAATAGTAGAGGACATAATAAGCTATGACAGTAAGATCATAGTAACTGTTTTAAATAACTACAGAAAAGGTTGTCTTTGAGGAAAATTTAAATGCTGTAAGCTTATAGATAAATAGGCTTTTCCAAGAATGACCATGTATGACATTATAACTTAAAAATTTAGTCCCAAAGTAAAAGCCTTAATTTAACAATACTGTTTTAAAGAGTAATAGTAATTCGATTTTAATATCAAGATGAGCAATATTTAATAAGAAAACCACAAACTTAGTGACTTCTGAAGCATGGCGGCGCGAGAGGTCCCCCTGTGAAGTTGCAAGATGAACAGCTATAATTCAACAAAGGATTCCCTCCTCAACACACAAACACATCTGAGATCCCCACATGAAAACATGTGAAGAAGGGAGAATCTGAGTGAACAGGGGAGGAGGGAAGGGAGAAGAGCAGAGACAGGTGCCATGGATGGGTGCTCAGGATGCAGCCCAGAGCTCACTGCATGACTCAAAGAAGGGGGAGGAATCAGGCTAAAAGTGTGCTCTGTAGCCCTTTTTTTTTGAGTAATCAGTATAGAATATGGCTGAAATCAGTGATGGGGGAGACACTGAATATAGAAGTGTGACAGCTGGGTTCTAGCAGCTGCCATTGCCCAGCAGAAAACAAAGCTACAGAGCCTGGTCACCTCTCTGCACCTTCCCAGAACTAGCAGTGGGCCCCAGAAGAAACTATAGCAGTGATTGTCGGGTTAAAAACCAGAATATCTACAGCCCTGAGAAGTTGAGAGACAGCTCCTGAGAGGCAGATACACACTGTGGCTAGTCCCAGTGACAGGAGTGAGATGCAGAGGAGAGGCAGCTGAGGTCTGACAGCAGCCATTACTGGGAGAATAATAAAGCCACAACACACCAGAGGCCTCTCCTAGCCCACCCCACCCCCACCCATCAAGGCTGATCCAAGACAGGGCACCTGGGACACCTCAGGTAGTGCAACACTATATCTGGCTGCTGGGGCAGCATTGAAATTTCACGGATCACCCGAGCAGTGTCCTGAGACCTGGTTGACCTGATCACAGAAGAGAGGCCCACTTTCTCAGGGAATAAAAAACATTTTACACCTCCTGCCAGAGATCCAGAAGCCTGAGCAGTGCTAGAGAAAATGAAACATTTGTGCTTCAGTGCCACCTACTGGAAGAAAAGAAGAAAAACCTCTGCTAATCAACCTGCTAAAGTGGTATCACTCTAAAAAATATA